GAGATGAAGATGAAGACTCTACTCCCAAACTGGTAAAGGTTTAGTAAACACCCTTGGTCCTGGCATGTATTATCTTCACAAAGTGACTATTTTATCCTGCCATTTACTCAATTTTGGACCTCTGCTATGAGTAGAATATTGAGATCATTAAAAATGGAGCCAACATATGTATGTGAAGAAAGAACAGCCCAAACCTGAGCAGTATTTAGATGTAGATAAAACGATGTCAAGAATACTCTATGTTCAGCCCATTATGGACAGCAATTTGACCTAACAGAGTTTGGTTGCTAGGTTATAAAAGGTAGATAGGTATTTATAAACCTATAAATAGGTTTTGTTACCTATTTGAGTTAACCTTGCAGATCTATTTGTATCACTGTATCTTGACAACAAACCGTGTATGCTTTGAAAGGCTGGCAGTCTGCATCTAAGACTAAGCGTGAATTCGGAGTAATTCCGTCAGAAATATGAAGATCATGAAATAAATCTCGCATAAACGAAGAATGTTCAATTTTTAAGTGCGTTGAAATAGTAATAAATTAAAATGCTGAGTTCTATGATAAAATAATTTGAGTTGCCAGTCCTTGTTGGCTGACACTCAATGGACTCTTTTACCGTCACTCTTAGCATTGGTGTAAGCGGTTTGGTGCCTGCTGTCGCAACTGCGAAGTAAGTCATTCCATCTGGTTCGCCTTGGTCGAACTGAAACACCGGTGGGTGATCATTAGCGTCAAGAACGTCAATTTCGACGGACGTTGTGTCCACGAACTCCAAGCCTGCGTGGAATGCATAGGTGAATATATCAGCATAGATTTCAGCGCGAAAACAATAGTATTTATGATACCTGCATAGGTCGAAACGTAAGCAGTGATGTTCAAGCGATAGTTTGGAATCAGTTCTCTGTCAAGGTCGATCTGCGTTTCTAACATGCACAGTCCGTTTTCATTGATTCGCAAGGCGAACGCACCTGCAAATCATCAACATAATTACGGTAAGGTTGACTGGTTTCTGAAGCAAAGAATAATTCAATCGCATCTGTCGACGTGTGCCATAAAAATTAAATAAATTTATGTCTATTGATTGACTTTTTTGCAGACCTATTTAATAACATGCTTTCTTGCACTCAACTATCGTCATATCGTTCTCCCCTTCGCTGTTATTCAGTCTGCAGTATATTTGCTATCTTGATCCCGTCACTTAAATGACTTACTCGGATTACCGCCGACTTCTGCTTTTAACTGCCTAGGGCACGCCTTAAGCAGGAAATGTATCGATGGTATTACTGCATCAGCAGTGCATGGGCCTCAACCTGCGTCACGGTGTTGGACCACACTAAACTTTCCCAGTAAACACAGCATTCTTGAATTATATTTTTGAAGAATGGAGAATCGAGAATTTTAAATGGAGAAAACCTTCTGATAAATTTTGCAAACCTTTAGCTGTTTCTCTTATTTAAGATATGAGTTATGCCAGGTCTCTGTAGAATTTATAGATGAGAAAGTTAGGAATGGTTTTGAAGTTAAGAAGTCTTACTGCTTAAACTGAATCAGAAAGGCAGGCATTGTTCAACAGAGATATGCGCTAGTCAAATCGTACGTGAAATAAAAAATACAAATAAGTTTTTACATTAGTCCAAAGTAAAATTGCCATAATTAAGAAAGCGTAGTATATGACAACAGTAGTCTATAGAATTCCCCATGTTTAAAGTTAACAGAGAACGAGAAGTAGAGCAAGAATATAAAGAGAATACAAATTGTTGCCCCCCCTGAAACCCCTAAGACAAACGTTATTTGCGGCACCGTTCTTTCATATGGCTATTTCTGATCGTCAGTACAATTCCATCCACAAATCCTTCTTCGAAGGGAGTATTTTCAGCGGACAGTTCCATGTGCCCTTCCCACGCAAAGCGATATTCGCTTATCTGCTTCAGAAAGCTCAAGCGCTTTTGACCCATTTCAGGATTTGAGCAGACGGCTAACTCAGCGGTAAACCGATTTCTTGTGGATGATTTCCAAACCAACTATGGTTTAGACACCGAATATATTGAACATTACCTTCATAGTTGCCAGAGGATATTGCGCAGTGAACGACTTGATTTGGGGCTTTATTTGCCATGGTTAATAAAAGGACATGTTGCGGAGCTGGAATGACTTCTTGCACTTCCGTTCTGAACAAAAACAG